TTCCCTAATCAACTACTGCTTGCCACAGCCACAGACAGAATACTGGGTTAGAGGGATGCTTATCAAGCCTGGTACAGTTGTATTTACAACATTCTTTCAGAAAAGCAAGGATAAAATAATAACATTACCACTAGGTTTAAACACACTCCTTCCAACACATCTGGATGTTGGTTTGGGACTGAGCTACACACATGCAATTTTCACTCCATGTGTCCATGTTATTTTGGTTAGAAAGTATATAAATATTTGCAGGAGCAAGACTTAAAATATAAGGTTTATAACAGCTTTAAAACACGTAAATATTTTAAAGCTTCTACATATACAGAATGTATTTCTGTTTTAATACATACTAAATTAAGCATAATTTATTCTATCAAATCAGTAAGCATAAAATATTATAATATATTGAAGCAGTTCAGATAAAAATTGCTTTTTTGGAGCTTTTGAAAGAATCAAAATACAGGTATAGCTAACTCCCCTTGTCATGAAAAAGCTTTTATATTAAATTCCTGGTAATTCTTGAATTAAGATCATTAAGATCTGATTTCCACGCTAGTCACATTGGTTTTACCTTGATTCACAATTACCTTCTTCAGACAGTCACCCCTCATTTACAAGTTTATTTCCTTGCATCTCTATATCATGTGGAGAATCGAAATTCACAGAAAAGTACTTTTCAGTGAGAAACCCACAGCAAACAACGTAAATGTCCCAAAAGTTTCCTGCACTCACAAGTTTCTTATCTCTTAGCCTCAGCACCACCTTTAAGCATCTCCTTTATCAAGCAAGTGCTGTTGGTTAGTACTTAAATGACCACAAAAATGTTTTCAGTGTCATTCCTGAATTTCTAATACTTTGATATGATTACACTACAGCAGTGTTGTGAGTTTTGTGTTATTTCTAGTAAGCCCATCCACTAGATTATTCCTTTCTGTTTCCACATAAAACTTAACATACTTTTTCCCCCCCCCCCTTCCTCCTAAGCCACATAGTCAAGCATCAGTTTAAGTGGAACACACTGACTTTAAGAAATTTCATCACTGCGCGCATTGGCACAGCATTAATTGGCTTCTCTCATAGTAGCGTATAAATCCTGACAGGTACGATACACACTAGAGGACAAATAATAGAAAATATAGTAATTGGAAGGAGGATTAGAAGAACAGGGCTTTTTCACATTCCAGCATAAA